ATTGTTAATATTTTTTGAATTATTTTGTTATTTTATTAATTAAAATATTATAACGGTTAAATATTCAAAATATATAGGACGTTCAGAGATTGGGCCGCTTGTGGTATATATCAATTCAAAAGTGCCCTTTCACGAAAATCTGCCCCCCCCCCTTGCCTTCACATCCTTCCGACGTCCCTGATTATTCATACATCTGTTCCTGCACCTTCAAGGCTGCAAATAAATATTTGACTTGACAGGACATTTGTCCGATCACTTTTAATTTTGGTCGGACATAACTTGAATTTAGTCGGACAAAAACCAACATCACTAAATTTGGTTGGACATATTACATATATACGTCGCAAGACAAGTTGTATGTATAGAATGCCTCGTAAATTTTATTGCAAAATACAAATTGAGTGAATTTGCAATTGGATATTGTCGCAGCAAAAAATGTATGGTGTGGCAATTTTTTTGTCATTTTTGCTCGGACATTTGCTAAATTTAGTCACATTGTACGATGTCTGACATTAATTTGCAGCCCTGTGCACCGTCACATGCGTATTGTACTTTTGTCCAACTAACGTTAACCAATAGCAATGTTTAGGGAAGTTTATACCTATCTGTGATTCAAACAATAGGGTAAACTTGGAAATTGCTATTTGTGGATCGCAAAATGATACAATACACAGATGAACTGACGAATGAACATATTTATGAATAAACATTGACTAACATATACTGTAGATGATGTGTTATATTATTATTCTAATGTAAACATATACTGGTTATGTATCAATCAATTGGAAACTTCAACATGCCCCCCCCCGGGAATTTGAACTTTTTCAAATTTGACTGATCAAATTCTCCACCCCCTGTGCAAAAAATGTCTTCAAATGCCCCACAAGAAATTAAGCGTTCAAATGCCCCACCTTCATATGAAAATTATGAAAGAGTAAATACAAAAATCGGAAATGTTTTTTGGCAAGATAGCGAAATTCACTTTCAAAAGTTTGGAAACCTTACGGAAATTTAACAGTTTTACTCAATTTTGTAGTACATACCTTCAAATGAAGCAACCTCGTACCCAGGCTCTTTCCACTACGCGCGAGGCAAATGAAGCACATAGCTTTTACATGCCCGTTTCTTTGAGCCAGTTTTTCACAAAATTCCCTCGTTTCCTTCGACAATTATCTGAGAAAATTGTACTTGCCGCCAATACGAAGTCTTTTCTGTGCATGCAGAAAGGAAGCGGGCAAAATTTTAAGACTTAAATTCCCCACCCCGTTATCAAATGCCCCACCACATGGAAGACTTAGAACGTCAAATTCTCTACTCCCTGGAGAAGACTTGAAGTCAAATTCCCGGGATATGCGGAAGGTGTTGAAGTTTCGAATTGATCGGTACATTACTGTCGTTGCAATAGTAGCCCGTTGTGGCAGGCTCTCTGGGTTTGGGGGAGGCGATGAGCCTGCCACGCAGGCTATTGAATTGAATTGAATTTATTAAAAACTTGAATGGCAGTTTACAAAGAAACTGAAAAACTCAAGTAACAAATATTAAAATAAAATAGTTAGATTAGAATATATAAAAATATATGTACAATACAAATTTATGCATTATTGTGTTAAGTTATTAAATTCGAATAGTTCAAGGCAAGTCCCATTTCCGTACGCAGGTTGGTAAAAAACTGTCATAAAATCTACTTGTACGTGTTTTAAAAAGTGGAATGTTTCTAACATTTCTAAGGTTATATGAATAAGATTTCTTTCTAGGTAAAAGGTCAGAAGTTTTACTTGAAGTGCCAAAACTGTTCTCGTAAAACCGTTTACACAAGGAAACCCTCCGATCAACAAGAGTGGGCAGATTGAGTTCTTTCAAACCGTCTTTATACGATAAATCAGGATAGATAATTTTCAGAGCCCGGCGTTGAATTTGTTCAAGTTGGTCGCACAAAAATACAGGCAATGAAAAATGCCACACGGGGCAGGCATACTCTAGCACAGGTCGTATGAAGCTACAGTATACATTTCTAAGATCCCACACTTCGACGCCGTTTCGTTTCAATATTCGAATTGCAAATAGACGTTTACTGGCTTTGGAACATATGTGGTCAATATGCGTCGTCCACTTTAAATCAGCAGACAAGTACACTCCCAGAAGCTTAACAGTGTGGACAACTTCGAGATGTTGATTGTCTATAGATAAAGCAGGGAACGAATGTGGGGCGCTAGACAGAGATATATTGAATTCTTTAGTTTTTGTGACATTCAATTTCATATTATTCTTAACCGACCATTGATTTATGTAGTCGATCTCACGTTGTAAACTGGATGACTGCAAGTCAAATGATTTAATAGACATCTTTCGCATAAGCCAAAGCCATATGCTTTGGCTTATGCGAAAGATGTCTAATGATTTCAGTACCGCACAGTCGTCAACATATTTGTACAATGGTGCATTACATCTCAGATCGTTCACCATAATAAGAAAAAACAAAGGGCCTAATTTGGTTCCCTGAGGCACCCCAGCTGCGATTTGTTTCCAACTTGATTTGTGAGTTCCCACTTTAACACGTTGTTGTCTTTCTTGGAGAAAGCTCGAGCACCAGTTTAAAAGCACCGGAGGGACCCCAAGGATCAATAGTTTATGCATGAGAATGTTGTGATCAATTCGATCGAAGGCTTTTGCAAAATCGATTAAACAAGTTCTGATCATCGTGTTTGGTGCTTCCAGGGCAGAAAGCCAATAATGAACTAAGTGTACGAGGGCATGTGTAGTAGACGATCTTTTGACACGTCCAAACTGGTATGGATCGATATGTGGTATTACAATAGGGGGAAGCCAACTAAACACAAAACTTTCAAAACTTTCACTATTGCAATAGAAGTGTTGAAACCTACCTATTAATAACTCTAATTTGTAAATATTTATCACTTATTTACTGAGACCGAGGAGACAGTGTGTTTTGTGGACCCGAGACCACCTTTGCAACAATGGCGGTCGAGGAACCACAAAATTACACACAGCTTTCCCGAGGTCTCAGTAAATAATTGTTTTGTTACATTATAGTATGTAAGTGTCAAAGTATGGATAATTCACCGATTATTGGAGTGAACTTTGAAACCAAAACTAGATAATTATATAAATGGAACGCCGTAAATGTTTAATAAAAAAGTTTAATAAAATGAACTCAATCACAAAAATATTTATTATAATTATTACACTTCAGGTAAATTTTTAACATTCAAATTCATATTTCAGGTAAAATCCTCCAACATGCCC